CTTGACTTTACCGCCAAAAGGTACCAGCGCCCCCGCCCCCTCCAGTCCCAGTCTCCTTTACAAAAAATAATGACTCCCTCCTCCCAGTAAACGGTGAGGCTTTTCTTTGGGGAGACTCACACAGAATCTCCCGCAGCTGATACCAGTTCTGGGGTTGTAGGTGTGACTCCACGAAGAGAGAGAAGTTTCTGGGTTGATGACGGCTGGAGGAGCCACATTTTTGTATTACCGATGCACTTGCTTAGAGCAACAAAGTCCTTGCAGTTGTAACCGACCTGGGTCTCCCTCTGGTGAAGCTGGAGGCCTTCACCCTTCCCCAGCCCCTGCCCAGCCCAGGAGGCAGCTCTGAACCCCACTCTCCCCCTTCTCCAGGGATCTTCTGCCAAGTCCAGGCTTTTGCCTGCAGGGTCTTTTGCAATCTAATCATGGTAAACGGAGTCACTGCTCACCCCGCTCTGTAGGAGACTAGTACATGGCAGAGAACACTGGCAAACCAAAAGCTGAGTTGGGTTTCTAGTTTACTTACAGAGAATGTCATTGTTAGCTGAGAGCTCTTAGGTCAGAGGTTCTTTGCTTTGAATATTTAATATCAAGGCAGTGTTTCTACCTAGCAAAGGAAGCCAAGATATGCCTATTTGGCAAGCAAACCGTGGTCCTTAAAAATCAAGCACCACAGGGTCAGAATGCTGTGGTAAATGTGCTAGGGAAATGCTTTTCAAGTGCTATTGACTTTTTTTTTTTGGTAATAGAACTTTTCTTGGCTGCTCAGAAAGTTCTGTATTTGCTGATTTAAGCTATGGAAAGCAGTTCTGAATCCGCCACCCTCTAGCTCTGAATATTGTGGAGAAAGCATTGAAAGCTGACAAGCCTTTTTTTTTTTTTTTTTTGGTGACATCATTGCAACTGAACAAATACTGCTTTAGGTTAATTGCGGTGTAACCATTAGATTGTTTTCACAGATTATAGACACTCAGACTTTGTTTCTTTAGTGAAGCAGTTGCAGTATTTGTGGCCGTCTGTAGGTTACCACCCAAGTTTGGAATTGTCTGTATGTAGCGACTGTTCTAGAAGGTGTGCTGGAGCTATCCAACAAGGGCACCTCATCCTAAGGGAAATGGATATTTCGATACATGTTCTTCTAAATGACAGTAAATGACAAAAGAATTATTTCTTTCTGCTTTCGGTGCGAACCTGAATTCTAGGGCTTAAAACTCCCTGAGCCGGTCGTAGGTGGTGATACGGCCAGGTCCATCCACAAGCAGACCCCATTTTAACTCTGATCAGCCTTGCTCTTCAGGGATCTGAGGGCTAGAGAGAGAGTATCAGGGAGGCTTTTTGGGAGAAGAAAAGAAAAAAAAAGACATCCTCCCAAAGCACAGACATGTTCAGGTTTAAATCTAAATGCTATATTGTGTGGCATTGGGGAAACATTAGAGAAGGCTCAGAAAGATGGAGTGTTTCAAAGTTGATCGATTTGACTTGAAACCTTTAGGGACCCCCCTAACTGTGTGATATACAGCATTGAGGAAAATTCCCAAGCTCCAATGATGACTGTCTGAGGGTTTAGTTGAATGCTTTAGTCAAAGCAGTGGATACTGATCATGTAATTCCAAAACCCCCTTCCCCCCCACCCTCGGGTCCTCAAAACCTGACACCTGCTTTCCTAGGGACAGGTGGTCCTCCTCTTTTTTATGAACTTGGAGGCATTAAAAACCAGAGGTCTGTAAGGAGACCGTGCCCCCCACCCCCGCCCCCGAGCCTTACACGAATAGCCCAGCGCTGGGGAGCAGCCTTCCACAATGCAGATACTTGCTTGTTTTTCTAAACAAGGGAAACATCAAAAACTGAAGCTGGTGGTGGTGGTCGGGGCGGGGGGGGGGCACTTGGGAGCCCTTTGCCCTGGGAAGAAGAGGATGGAGGAAGGATGGTGTTTCCACATGAAAGAAAGTATCAGAATGTCAGGGGTCCCAGCCATTGTGTGTACAGTATAGGGCCTCGCAGGAGATTAACAGTGCAGAGTTTTGGAAAGTTACTTAAGCCTTTCTCTTCTTTGCAACTCTTCCTTGAGGCTTTTCCTGGGGCTGTCAGCTGGTGTAGTTTTCCTGGGTCATTGATTTTTTTTTGCCCTGAGGATTCCAGCATTGGTTCTCACTCTTAATAAGCCAGGGGACTGTATCCTGGCTTCCTCCTCCCCCTCCATGCTCGTGACTTGTGCTAATCGCCTCCAAGCCTGCTGGGAAAAAGGCTCCCCAAACACCCCCTTCCCTCTCATCCCTGAAGATACTGAGATGCTGCCAACAGCCACTGGAAGGCTGTCATCACTGCATTAAAAACATATCCTAGGAAGACAAGATCAGTTCATGCAAAACTAGTGCCTATGACCCTTAATCCCATACTCAAATACACTCGGCTTTCATCCATTTTCCTCCTTGGGATGGAGTTCTGGTTTTTTGACTGCATTCCCAAATTGGGGATTTGGCCTGAGAGGTCCAAATTGATCATTGATTTTTTTTTTCCCCCAAACAGAAGTGTAATGTCAGCATCATCTTTGTTCAAAGAACAAGGCAGGGATGAGGGCTGAGAGGAGGGAGGGGCGCCATCTTGGGTTCCAGCCATAAAAAGCAAAGGATCCTCCACATTTTGTCCTGCTTTGAAGAGCGATGTTCCAGTGTGTCTCTCAAACTTATTTTTGCTGAGTTGGGTTTCTCAGGTCTTGTTCTTTTTTTTTTTTTTTTTTTTGGTGATTTTTCTCTCCATTTCTCTCTGCTGAAGGCCAGCAGCATCTTCTCTTGTCTCCCTGCGTATCCCCTTTCTTTCTTTTCTTTCTTCTCAAAGAAGTTCAGAGTGATTGATGGGCTTGTTGAGAGGGATGGG